AGGGGTCAAGAATGTCTCCTAGGTTGGGAGACTGAGGGACTGGGAGGATGGTGTTGCCTCCTACAGTAATAAGGTAGGTAGAAGGGAAGCAGACAGTTTAAGAGGAAAGATAATGAGTTCTGTTTTGCATGTGTTAAATTTCAGACATCTACAGGATGTCCAGTTCAAGATGTCTGAAAGGCAGTTGGAGATGCAAGATTGGAGGTCAGCAGAGTTTGGGGCAGGAAAGGTAGATTTTAGAATCACCAGCATAGAGGTGGTAATTACATCCATGGGAGCTGATGAGATTATAGTATAGAATGAGAAGAGAAGAGGGTCCAGGATAGAACCCTGAGGGATCCCTATGATTAGAGGTTGTGATCTGGAGGAGGATCCGGGAAAGGATACTAAGAAGGAGTGGTCAAATTGGTAGAAGGGGAATCAGGAAAGAATGGGGTCGGAAAAACATAGAGATGAGAGTATCAAGAAGAGGGGGATCACCAATGTCAAGGACTGCAGAGAAGAGAGGGAGAATAAGAATTGAGAAAAGGCCATTGAATCTTCCAATTAAGAGATCATTGGTAACTTTGGAGGGAGCAATTTCAGTGGAATGACAAATTTGGAAGCCAGAATGTAAGGGGTTAAGAAGAGATTGAGAGGAGAGAAAACAGAGGCACTTATAGTAAAGGGCCTTTTTGAGGAGTTTAGCTATAAAATCCAGAAGAGATATAGACAATAGTGCAGATGAAAAGGTCAAGTAAGAGTTTTTGAGGATGGGGAGACATGGGCCTATTTGTAGGCAGTAAACAGGGAGAGATTGAAAATAAGATAGAGCAGGAATGACAGGGCAGTCTGTTGAAGGACATGGGATGAATGGCATTGCTAGAACAGGTAAAGGGTCATTAACCTTGGTAAGGAGTAAAGCCACCTAATCCTGTGAGAAGAGCGAAGGAGGAGATAGTGGCAAAAGGAATCTGAGTGATCACAGATGAAGAAGAAGGATCTCAGGTAAGAGGGTGGTGGAAGGGGATGCTGTGAGAGGTATGAGGAGAGAGAAAATGTTGGGAAGACCTGCCATGAAGTGTGGGATAGTGAGTTGATAAGAGTCATGATGAGATTGCCTAGCAGCAGAGAAGGCCCAGTTGAGGTTGTGTAACTTCATGACTGAGTCAGAATAGTTGTATGATTTTTCAACACCTTCATTTAGTAGCAAATGTAAAGGAAATAAGGCAATCCTTTGTGTGAGTATTCCAAGGATGAGACTTGGGTAGGACATATTCAGCAATATAAGAGGTCTAGGGGTCAAGATGCGGGGGGTGGGAAGAATGTGTCTAGTTTAGAAGTAATGGCCTGAAAGATAACTGAGGGGTCAAGGGATTGGAGATAATGGTGTGGACAAAGAGCAGGAGTAAGCAAAGGCAAAGGGAGAGGTGAAAAGCCAATAGACTGTGGTTGGATGAGTGATAAGAAGATCGAGGATATGACCATGTTTGTATGTGGCTGAGGTGTGGTAGAGTGGAAAGTGAGTAGGTTGAGGAACTGAGTAGTTAGGGTGATAGAAGGAGAGTCAGTATGTGTGTTGAAGTTCCTTAGTATGATGGCAGGAGTTGAAGAGGAAAAAAATAACTGTGAGTCATGTACCAACTTGAATGAGGATGGAAGGAGAGTGACCTGGGAGTCTATAGACAACAGCTACCAGGATTTTGATTGGGTGGCAGATATGAATAGCATGTACCTCAGGGGAAGACAGATTGCTGAGTAACAGAGGTAGGGGGGAGAATCTGGAAGTGGCAATGGGGAGCAAGGAGTATTTTTAACTGTACCTCAACCAATGAACTGAGGAGAATGAGAGAAGGTGCAATAAGAGACAGAGTCAGAAGTCCCACTCCCCACTAACTTTCCTCTTCCCTCAAGAGACAGGCGCAGCAGAAGATGAAGACATGAGGTGAAAAGGTAGGTTGCTCCTTTTTGCACCAGATTATCCATGTCTTTTTTTCAAGATCGGGCTGGCAGTAGGAGATAGAAGTTGCCTTATGCTTGTACAAACAGAAATGGTTGGTTTGGGGCAGGTGGAAGACTCCTCACCTGGCCTCTTGCCACGTTCCTCCAGCAAGGGATAAAAGGCACAAGGCATGTGGTTAGAGGAACATCAGGCTCCTCTTCTCAACTGAAGAAGTTGGTGAAGAATGGGTAACAGGAATGGTAGATTCCCATGGAGAGGGAAGTCCTTTGGGACAAATGGAACAGTACAGTGCTATGTTACTTTAGGTCTTGCTCAGGGACAATCTGGGACTGGTGTGAAACAATTCTGAGACTTTGCTGTGGCTGAGTTCATCCAGAAGGTGAGTGCAAAGGATTGTTGTTATGCCAAGCTCATGGCACTGCTTGCTTGCTGGGCTCTGGAAAAAAGGGTGTCTCCTAAAAGTAAAAATAGAGTCATGAGAAGAGAGGGGTGGTCACAGCATTGGCATCCTGACAGCATATTATACTGACAGGGCCATCTCCCCCCACCCCATAATAATGTATCTAATCTGAGGGGCAATTAATCCTTTTTTATCCAAAATCCTGTTTATATGTAAGCCTTCTCATTTTTCCCCTTCAGCTTGTTCCACAGGGACCAAAGCGTAATGATCTTCAATCTGATGTCCAGTCTAAAAGAGTTTAGGGAAATCACCATAAGGGGTATGTCATGTTGTGCTACCACCTTCATTTGTCTTAATGAATGTTTTTATTTTGGTCCCCATGTGAAATTTTTATATTGCCTTGTAACATTGGTCCAGTGGAGAACATTGTACCTAAATTTGGAATATGTTTTTTCCAGAAAGCAAAGAGTCCAACTAGTTTCTGTTCCTCCCTTTTTGTCCTTTGGGGCTTTAAAGCTAAACTCTTTTCTACTACTGGTTGAGGAATGAATACTCCCTCCAATGTCCAGATCATCCCTAAGGATGCCATTGGACAAGTAGCCATCCTCTGTTAGTCTGATGGATTAAATTAATAGATTAATAATCCATTCTAGCCCTCAAATAACCCTTGCTTATCATGTACCCTAATATGTTCTATAGAATGCCTTACAAGTCCCGCATCGGTGTCAATTTTGCCTGAGTCCTGCCTGCATAGATTATGGCACAGTACTAAGCTATTAACATATCCCTGTGGCATCTACATTAATGTATACTCTACCCCCTGCCATGTGAAGGCAAAGAACATAGTACTTATGTAGATAACTGAAAACCACAGTCCATCATATCCTTTAATTTCATCACTCATTTCTGAAATATTTGGGAAGTCTCCCTTGATAGGTTTAGTCTTGGCATTAAGTTTACTATAGTCTATTATAAATCTCCACTCACCATTTTCCTTTTTTACTGGCCAAACTGGAGAGTTATATAGGCCAATTCAGGGGTGGGGAACCTGTGGTCTTGAGGCCACCCGTGGCCCTCTAGGTTCTCAGTCTGACCCCTTGACTTCAGTCAAAGTCCAAGTTTTACAGAACAAATCCTTTTAGTAAGGGGATTTGTTCTGTGAAGTTTGGATTCAGTCAAAGGGCCACACTTGAGGACATAGAGAGCCACATGTGGCCTCAAGGCTGCAGGTTCCCCACCCCGGTATAAGAAGTATTATGACATGTTCTACAGTCTCTGTTCCTCCTGGGTGTTGCCGTTCTTTGGCCTTGTTCTAATTAATATCTTATTCCTTTGTTCAGTACTGTCTATTAATTAGTCCTAGTCTTTATCCTTATTCAAATTCCAAATATATCCATTCTACCCTGGCCATTTTTAATGGCAACTGTGTTTCTTCAGATATAGATTTCCATGGCCTAAACTGTGCTTTTGTATGTAAGGGGAGTAAGGCACTGCCTCCTTCAAGCATGAAAAATCCAACATAGAAGACTATCTTCTGTTATTGGAGGAATAATGATTTAACAATAATGTTAGTATTATTTAAACAAGTATTTCATTAATTATTAATTAATTGTATATATAAATTAATAATAATAATCTGCTCCTACTGCCTTTCATGTGGGCTAACCTTTCATCTTTACAATTCATCCCCAGTATTTTAACCTCATCTCTGTCTCAACTGACAGATTCACCATCCATTTGGCAAACTCTTAACAATCAGGCATCATCTGTTTCCTCTGTTTTTTTTAATGAAGTCTTTGTGCTAACAAAAAGCATTGAGTACCAATGCTGCCATTGAGAAGTGTTCATCTAATTATTGTTTCTGACCTAACAGAAGCTTTGATTTCTAAGCTGTTTAGCAACCCTTTCCTCTCCTTCACTTAAGACTTTATGGCTAGATATGGTACACAAGATTCACATCCGTATCATTCCCTTGGCAATGAGTCACTTAACCTATCATCTAACAAGTCACTAGCCCTCCATTTCTCTTCCTTCTGCTTTCCTACTGTCATATCTCAGAGTGACTTGGTTTAGAAGTTCTAGCAAAACCCAAGTCATCTGTTTCATTTTCTCAATCTGTTCTCTATATCTGTAGAGAGATACATTTTCTCCTTTAGTATCAATCCTTTTCTTTTCCCATAACTTCTTAAGTAACAATTCCTCTAAACCTTGCAAGAATGTATTTTTAATTTTGTACCGTGGTGGGTCTGGCTTCAAGAATGTCAGAAATCCTCTAATCATTATCTTAGTATGCTTATCTTCACCACATATGGTTCTTGGAATATGTCCCATATCTGTATTAAAATACCAGTGCAGCAATTTCTGAGGTTCTTCCTTATGTCTATGGTTCCCAGGAAGATAGGTATTATAAGACACTTTTATTTTGAACCAAAGTTCCTCTTAACAATTGACCATATTGTTTCAAGCTCAGTATAAGGGTTGGTTTCCCCTCTGGGCATTCTTTTAACAGAATACCATCTCTAGATGAGAGAGAGAAGTGGGGGAGAGGGGGAGAGGGAGAGAGAAAGAGGGAAGGGGAGAGAGAGGGGGGGAGGGGAAGAGGGGGAGGGGAAAAAGGGGGAAGGGGAGATGGGGGGGAGAGAGGGAGAGAGAGAGATGCCAAAAGGCAGAGAAGAGATTTCCCTTCTATTGTAGCAAGGGGTTTAAATTTTGGTCCTTGCCCCCTTTGGTGGAGGCAGTGGGTGAACAGCCAGGTTGTGTATGACCTAACCCTACCAGAGAAGATGCAACTGCCTAGAGTTCTAGTCCCACTCATGGTCTGATGAATCTCATGAATCTCATGAATCTAATGAAGGAAGTGGGATTTCCTGTTTCTTGCTCAGATTTCTCAGCCCTGGTCAGTGACTTATGGGCCTAAAAGCAAAGATGTTCCCTACCACTGAAATGTGAGGTTCAGCGACCCAGCTCTGACTTTCTCCAGAGCAGACAGAGCAGTGGCAGCAGAGATTTCTGTACCATTCTGTCTGTGGAAGTACAACAGCCAGGAGACTTAGTCTCAGTGTTTGTTATTGGCTTATGGAATACAGTAAGTTCCAGAGTTGATTCTCAGCCTTGTCTCTCTCTACTCCTTCCTGATCATATTCCAATGGCACACTGTTAACAGATATTCATAAGCATTGTCAGTTGTAATGCATAATACATCCACTAAACCAATTTGCTGTTACATGTGCTAAGTAACACAACCAAAACATTAATTAGACTTAGACTTCCCAATTATAGCAATAAAACTTGATTATTCAAGAGTGTGCAAACACTAGTCTCTACGTTCTATTACAATAATAGCATTAACCCCAGTAGGAACAAACCACTAATCTAATTTCCTCTAGTTTCCCAATAAGTATGTCTTGCAGTGCTGCTCAATGACAAGGTTCCCTCTCTGCCCAGCCAGAGGCCGTGTGTCTCCCTGCAAGGTGTTTGCCAGGTAAGTGAGCAAATTTCTGCTGTCAATTCACAGTGCTCTCATTGAATCCAGAGGATGCTTGAGTCTTAAGAACTGGGAATGCAGGAGCCAAACTTAAAGGGGAGCCAAAGGTATGCTGAAGGCTGGGGGCATTGGTGGCCTTCTTAGAGTTGTACCTATGGGCATTAGCTGGTTACACCAAATTCTGCTTGGTGTCCAGTGATGTTATTTGGCTACCAGTTAATTTGATTGATACCTGGCAAAATAAGGTCATGACAAGGTTATTTTAAAAATGTCCCTTAGTGGCCTGTCCTGCCAGGGAGGGGAGATCCCATATTTTTAACTGTAGATAATGGAAACAGGCCTAATGCAAAATGAAATCAGTTGTGTCAAGGCAAAAAAAAAATATTTTGACTGTAGTGCCTGACTTCATCTCTATACAGTCATTCAATGATAGATGTAATTGGGGTTTCATGATGCATACAACTAAAGCTCCAAGTGTTTTTAGTATAAAATAAGTAGACAGGATCTGAGGTCTGAATGAGACTTCCAGGTCTGCTGAGAACAAAATCAGAGATATGACCACTGTATTTAATTTTCCTCCAACTTGTTTTTCTTGTTTTTTATGCCTTTTCATTTCCCTCATTCCTGCATGTGTTGAATGGAAGGAGGAAAAATAGACATTGCAAGTAGCAAAGGATATCCTAGGTCAGGGTTGGAGTCGGGGGTCAACCAGAGATCAATTTCTCTACTTATTTGTCTGTGAATCCCTTAAGGTTAACTTGATTTTTCCATTTATGGGTCTTAGCATTATTCTAGTGAAGAGTTCAACAATCTCCCTCTTCTAGACACATTTCATTTTGAAAAGCTCATTGTTATTTCAGAAAAGTGAGTTTCCAGAATTGCATTTGCTTAAGAAATGTATAGAGGTTGGGGGGTGGGGGCATCAGTCAGGGCAACCCCGGACTGGTGCTTCCTGATGAGCCAATGAAATGGTTCCACTGCCCTCCTGAGGCATCTTTCTTTGCAAGTGCTCCTATGCATCTGTACCAGTAAAAAGAATAACTTGCTTCTATAAAGAAAGCTATAAATTTTGGGTCACTTTGGAGATTCTGAGCAAACTGTGAGATTAGTAATTTTCTTATCCTGATATTACAGGGGAGAGACCAGAGGATAACACAGGATAAGTAACTTGGTTACCTTAACAGGTCTGGTAAGTAGATGAGTTGGGAGGTAAAGTCCAGGCTTCCTGACCCTGCAGGTCAGATTGTGACCACCAAGCTATTTGGAATGCTGCCTGTCAAACATCATTTTTCTTTCCCTGCCACATATGTATTTATTCTTGCCTTGCTCGACTTACCTAAAAATTCATGGTCCACATAGCCTAGAACTATAGGCCTTTTCAAAGGCTCTCTATTTGGAAGCCCCTTATCAGACAACTGAGAAAAGTGAGGCCCTCGGGTTTTCCAGGGCCTAATCAAAAGAATGTGTCTGATGTATGCATTAGGTCCTCTACTTGGCTGATTCCAGATGCTGGCCACTGGACACTACCATAAGTGTGTCTCTACCTCAGTCTGATTTGATTCTCCCTTGTCATTTCCCTTCACTTGAGTCCATCAAATGGAATCAGCAGGACAAAATATTTCAAGTAGTTGGAATGCCAGACACCTGGGACAATGTATAGAGTGATCCATGCTGTCAGTCTTACCATTTCTTTTCCTCAAAGTCCTTGAGGCTTCACCTCAGTTCAGCTTTTCTCATTCCTAGGATGGAGATACCCTGGAAGATTTGGAAAGTGGCCCTCTGGTTCACAGATGTTCTTATACAACCATTCCTCTTCCTTTCTAAATGTAAGTCTCTTCAATTCCTCTTTCTTTTGGGTAAAATGGATGATGGTTGCCCTTGGGGGTGGCATTTGGCCTTGCCTGTGAGGTCTGCCATAATGTGATGGACAGATTCCATTCTTTGTGGTGTCTCCACGTGCCAGGCCTTTTCCTTTCTGTTCAGGATTAATCACAATAAGAAGAGCAACAAAAGCCACCCTAATAAGAATTTCAACTACCAAATCCAAAACAAGCACAGCAAATATCATAGTGTGTGTATACTCTCTCCTTTGACCCAGCAGTAGATCTCTGGTTCCAGTGCCTTTTGTAGTCCAATTGACAGAGGAATTAAATGATGCTAAGACCTGAGAAGTTACTCAGATTAGGGAAGACACACCTGATATGTGGCTGAGGTGGGATTTCGAGTCAGGCCTTCCTAGCTGCAAGTCCAAGACTCTAAGATGTTTGGCCATCTGCCATCACTTTTGTTCCCATACTTAATTTCTTTTCACCATGCCATCATCTTTGACTCGCTTGGGTATTCATCTTCCCCAAGACCCTAGGTCTTGATCTGTTGACACCAAAGTGATGGACGTGTGTGTGTGTGTGTGTGTGTGTGTGTATACATACATATATACATATGTATATATGTATATGTATATGTGCTCTATATGTATATGTGCTCTATGTATATATGTGTGTGTGTGTGTGTGTGTGTGTGTGTGTGTGTGTATGGAGAGAGAGAGAGAGAGAGAGGTAGGGAGGGAGGGAGAGAATTTATTTATTTACTTATTTTCCCATCCTTTTTGTATTTCTGTGATGCCATTTAATTTTCCTTCATCCAGTGTGTATTCGAGGGTGGTAAAAATATGTGCACATTTCCAGGAGCAAAAGTTCTTGCACGAGGCCAGTTTCTTATTTTGGCCTATCAGTGAATTAAGGTTAACCTGTTGATTAGTTGATTGATTGTTGGACTGTTTATTGGTTCTAGGATTATTCCCAGGAAGAGCTGAGCAATCTTCCCATTGTGGATAAATTTCATTTTGACAAGGTCACTGTTTCTTTTCAAAGGTGAATTTCCAAATTTGCATTTGTTTCAGAAATTTGAATATGTTAGGTCTGGGGTTATAAGTCATGGAAAGCCAGGAAGTTTACCTCTTGATGGACATTTGAAATAGTTCCACTGCACTCCTAACATATCTTCCCTTGGAAGTGCTCATGCTTATTTCAGACTACTTAGCTAGACCTGTTGGCCTTTTCAGGGACCCTTTCTTTGTAAGTCCCTTATCAAATAAGTGAGGGAAGTGAGCCCTATGGGGTTTTCAAAGGCTTAGTTGATAGAATGTGTCTGATGTATGCATTAGGTCCCCTGCTTGGGAGGCCCTAGATTCAGGCCACAGGACACTGCCTTGAGTGTGTCTCTGCCTCAGTCATATTTGGTTCTTCTTTATAATTTCCATTACCTTGACTCCATCAAATGGAGACAGCAGGAAAACAAATTGTAAATAGTTGGGATGCCAGCTAGAAGATGTGCAAGGCCACCCACACAGTCAGTCTTTCCAAATCTTTTTCTTTTAGTCCCAGTCAGTCTTGCCACATCTTTTCTTCTAACTCACAGTGGCATCACATCCTTCTGCACTTTTTTTTTGTTTTGTTTTGTTTTGTTCCTGGTTAGGCAGTGGGGTTAAGTGACTTGCCCAGGGTCACACAGCTAGTAAGTGTTCTGTGTCTGAGGCCAGATTTGAACTCAGGGCCTCCTGAATCCAGGGCTGGTGCTCTATCCACTGTGCCACCTAGCTGCCTCCCTTCTGCACTTCTTATTCCTAGGATTGTAATATCTTGGAAGACTTAAGGAGTCACCCTCTTGTTTACAAATTTTCTCATGTAACCATCCCTCTTCCTTTTGAAAGGTAAGTCTCTTCATTTTCTTTATTTTTTAGGGGGGAGAAATGGATGAAGGTTGCCATTGGGGGTGTTGTTTGGCCTTGCCTAAGAGCTCTTCCATAATGTAATGGACAGATTCCATTCTTATGTTCCAGGTATGCCAGAACTTTTCCTTTCTGTTCAGGATTAATCACAAGAAAAACAGTCACAAAACCACAATAGTATCTTCAGCTACAAAAATAGAAACAACTACAGCAAATATCATTTATGGAGTACAGTGTTTGCATGTTATCTCCTTTGACGCAGCAATAGACTTCTGATTTTGATGTTCTTTGTAGTTCAATTGGCAGAAGAATTAAGTCATACTAAGATATGAAATGGGACTTTGCCAGGGTAATACATCTCATAATGGCATAGGTGGGACTCCTGGTTGGACTTTGATATTTCCACATCCAAATCTCTAAGACTTTTTGCTGTTGACCATCACTTTTCTTCTTGTAATTCATTCCATTCTTGTTTTTCTTTTTTCATTTATTATTTATTTAATTTAGACTTTTTTTTTAAGTTTGAGTTCTGAATTTTTCCTTGCCACTTTTACCCCATCCATTGTGATCTCAATAAATATGATACCAATTATACATGTGAAATCATACAAAACATATATCTGTATTAGCCATGTTACAAAAATAAAATAATAAAAATGTCAAAATATTATGATTCCATCTGCATTCAGATGGCCATCAATTCTTTTTCTGGAAGTGGATAATGTTTTTCATCATAAGTCCTTCAGAATTTCCTTGGATTATTGTATTAATCAAACTATCTAAATCATTCACAGTTGATCATATTAGAGCATGTCTGTTACTCTGTAGAATATTCTTTTGGTTTTACATACTTCACTTTGCATCAGTTCATTGAAATTTTTCCAGGTTTTTCTGGAGTCATTTTGCTCATCATTTCTCCTTTTTTAAAAATAATTTATTTGTTTTCCTAGTTACATGTAAAACAATTTTTAAGATTAATTTTTTTAAAATTGAATTCCTAATTCTCTTTCTGCCCCCCCCCAACTTTCCTTTAGGTGGCAAGGAATTTGACATATGTAATACATGTGCAATCATGCAAAACATTTCCATATTAGTCATTGTGAAAGAAAACACAGACCAAAAAAATAAAGTGAAAAATGGCATGCTTAGATTTGCATTCAGACTCCATCAGTTCTTTCTCTGGAGGTGGATAGCATTTTTCATCATGAGTCCTTTGGAATTGTCTTGCATCATTGTATTGATCAGAATAGCTAAGTCATTCACAGTTGATCATCATATGGTATTGCCATTACTATATACAATGTTCTCCTGGTTTTGTTCACTTCAGCACTTTGTATCAGTTTATGTAAGTCTTTCCAGGTTTTTTCTGAAAGCATCCTATTTTAGATTTCTTATAGCACATTAGTATTCCATTACAATCATGTGTCACAACTTGTTTAGCCTTCCTCAGTTGATGAACATCCCCTCAACTTCCAACTTTTTTCCACCACAAAAAGAGCTGCTATAAATACTTTTGTACAAATAGATCCTTTTCCCCTTAAAAAAAATTTCTTTGAGGTACAGACCTAGTAGTGGTATTGCTATGTCAAAGGGTATGCATGGTTTTATATCCCTTTGCTCATAGTTCCTAATTGTTTGCCAGAGTGCATGGACCAGTTCATAACTCCACCAACAGTGCTTTAGTGTCCCTATTTTCCCACATTCCTTCCAACAATTGTCATTTTCCTTTTCTGTCATATTAGCTAATCTGATAGGTGTGAGTTGGTACCTCAGAGTTGCTTTAATTTGCATTTCCCTAATCAATAGTGATTTGGAGTATTTTTTTCACATGACTATAGTCCTCCTTGTTAGTCATTTTTGGGGAGGCTCTGTTAAGAGAGGCTGTGAGTCTGTAGGTTTTACATTCCCTGCT